CAGAATCTGGGTTTGGAAACATCATAACAAAATAAAATGAAGCACCCAAACCAACAAAATGAAATTTGATAGAGCAAGTGAAAAGTCCCACATGTAGTATAGTTTAAAAAAATCTTTACAAGTACATAACAGAGGAGATGTAGAGTAAGAAGAGTTCATGTTCAAACGGGCTAGGAATCTTGGTGAACTCCAAGCTCATATCTCTGTGTGAAGCAGCTGCCAAAATGACTAGCAAAATCTTAGAAAGCATTAATAAAGGCATAATGTTCTGAATAGAAGGAGAATGGGGCTACTGTACTTTGCCAGGCAGTCATCATCTATAGTACTGTATTCCGTTTAGCTCCGTAGGGTTCCAGGGAAGGATAAATAAGATAACACATTATCTAAAAGTTACACCATGTGAACTGAAAGGACTTGAGAGTGTTCATTTTGGAGAACAGAAGGCTGTTCAATTTTAGTGTCTAAAATGTGAAGGAGGCAGTCATTTTTCTGTCGCTTTATAAGACAGAACTAAGATTAATTAGTAGATAAAATCAATGGAAAAGAAAGCCTGTGTTGGTTGAATACCACTACATGCTGCTATCCTAGGTACTTTACATTATTTTATTAAAACCTTTCAGAAACAGATGGATATTTTGGGAGTGGTAAGCTCCCCATGACTGGAAATCAGATCCCCAGCTCAGCGCTGCTCATTTAAAGCGGTAGTGGCCAGGTGTGATGGCTCATGACTGTAATCCCAGTCGTTTGGGAGGCTGAGGTGGGAGGATCGTTTGAGGCCAGGAGTTCAAGACCAGCCTGGGCAGGAGGGAGACCCCAGTCTTCACAAAAAATGAAAAAAGTTAGCTGGGTATGGTGGCATGTGCCTGTAGTCCCAGGTACTCGGTAGGCTGAGGCAGAGGAATGGCTTGAACTGGGGAGGTGGAGGTTACAGTGAGCCAAGATTACACTACTGCACTCCTCCTGCCTTAGGAGGCTGAGATGGGAGCACTGCTTGGGCCTGGGAGGTTGAGGCTGCAGTGAGCTGTGGTCATGCCACTACACTTTAGTCTGGGTGACAGAGCAAGGCTTTTTTTTTTTTTTTTTTTTAAAGCAGCAGCCATCACTTTACTGCTTCCAAGATTTAAAAAAGCAATTTAGGCCCTTCTGAAGCCAGTTTCCTATTGGAGGCAGGCTCTCTGCAGGGAGCAAAGGCAACTACGTGTCAGCAACATGGATTTCTAGCACAGTGTCAAAGTCTCAAATCCCCACTAGATGGCTGACTGTGAGTGAGGAGCTGCCTATTCATACTAGCCCAAGCTACTGTTTTCTAGCCAGTCTTGAACATTGGGATGGGCCTGAGTTTGTCTAGGATTGAGTCTGCAGGGAGGGTTAGGTGGTACAGAAGAGCCCGAGTGTTCTGCAAGTTGATAAGGAATTGTGTGATGGGAGGGGAATGGGATACTTCTCTTGGCCAGCCACAGCCATTCTTCTCACATGCACCTGTAGTCTTTGAGTCACCCATGTGCTAAAGCCCCTCGGCCTAGGAAATGTTCTGGACAGTGGACAGTGTATCAGCTAGGGTCCTGTCCGAGCAGAACCAGAATTCAACTTGGAGGATTCTGACGAAGAGACTTTAATGAAGGAACCATTACAGAAGTGTGAGCTGGGAATCTTCAAAGGAACTCAGCATCATGGGCACCTTCCAACCTCAAGACTGTGTCTTTGCTGTCTCTTCATCTACCAACTGGCTGGATCCTTTGCCTCATTCTGATCTTTGTTATAATGCCACTTTCTCAATGAGAATTGTGACTGCTCCTCCTCAGCACTCCCTTCTCCCCACTAAACTTTGTTATATTACTTCACATCATCCAATATTTGTATATTTGTGTTTATTGTCTGCCTCTATCCATTAGAATGTGAGCAGAGAATTTTGTCTGTTGAGTTTATTGCTGTATCCCAGCACTTAGAATACTGCCTAGCCCAAGGAAGATGCTCAGTAAGTATTCATTGAATAAATGAATAGATGAATGAAGACTAATTGGACTTATTAGAACACATACAGAAAATTACCCAATGGTGACGTCTGAACCCTCTTTCTTGCTTCAATTTGTTCATTACTCCTTTGGGTGAAGCCAGTTGAAATGCACAAGGCTTTCATTTGGCCACAAGAGGGAGATATTGGCCAGTTTTTCATTTTATAGACACCTTGTTCTGCGATCATTCACTGTGTTCCCCAGACCTCAGAAATAAAACCTGAGACAGGGCCATGTCTGCAGCCAAAGTAAACACACAGTGTGTTTCTTCTGCCCGGATGCTGTCCAAGTGAAATTCAATTAAAACCTACATCAGTACCAGTTTCTAAAGGCGAGAAGGTCACTAGAAAGTAAGAGCGTAGGAAATGTGTAGGAGGAAGAAACAGGCAAAGAAAGGCATCTTCACCACTTTGGTAACCATGGAGATGCCACCAGCTGGCCAGATGACCTCATGTTTTGTGCCACATTCTTCTACTTCCCTTCTCTCTGCACCGTCCAGGTCCAGTTTGGCTGTTCCTGCAAAAGTGTGAGCTTTCACAATAAAAGATCTAAGTTCATGGTTCCAACTGTGACCCTCCAGGTGCTCTGGGAAAAAAATACAATTTACTCAAGGAATCATTCCCTCTTTTATTAAATCCTACTTTGTGAAGATACTATGTGAAAGGATCATGGGAGATGATACAGAAAGAAAGGGTCATCAGCCCCAAGGTCAAGGCACACAGTAATGACCCCACGGGACGGAAGTGGATGGGGCAGTATGGGAAGTGCAGAGAAGGTTTCAGGAGCATCTGGAAGACAAGAGAGGCTGTCTTCAGTGAGAAGGGGTCAGAGACAGCCATATGGGAGTGAGGACATTTGAATTGGGATTCAAAGATAGGTAGGTACACATTTGTGTTTGGCTGTATGTCAAGTACTTTCTGATTTTATACACTGCCTTTTTAAATCACACTTGAATTTCAGGATAATTTTTTTCTCATCTAACAATGAGTAACCACCTGTTTAAATGAAAAAGATCAGGTTTTTTCCCCCCACATCTTAATCTTGTAAGACATAGCTTGTAAGGGAGATAATGTGTTATTAAAATAGTAGAAGGGGACAAGCTTTGCATCCACTCCAGTGGTTTCTAAATTGAGTGCCCTTATGCACACCCCAGAGACTGGAGAATCTAGCAAATAAACACATGGGTTTTTTTTTGTTGCTTTTTTGTTTTTTTGTGGGTTTTTTTTTTTTTTTTTTTTTTTTTTTTTGAGACATCTGGCTTTGTCACCCAGGCTGGAGTGCAGTGATGCAATCTTGGCTCACTGCAACCTCTGCATCCCTGGTTCAAGCGATTCTCCTGCCTTAGCCTCCCAAGCAGCTGGGATTACAGCTGCGTGCCACCACACCCGGCTAAGTACATGATTTTTACAGTTTTTAAAAATATGGAGCAGAGAATGGAAGTCCTGAGGGGAGTTTTTATTATATTGCCTTCAGTGCAGCTTTTTTTAACAGTAAAGAGTGGAATTTGTGAATACCTATTGAGGTCCAAGACTCACAGACTAAATTCACAGACCAACACTGTGGACTCTCGTCAAACATATTCTTTATTTGAGTGAGAGACAGTCCAGAGGGAAAACAGGGAAAGAACAAAATGAAAAACTCAGATGTCAAGTAGCTGCTCTGAGTCAAAGGCTTCCAGATCCTTCCTGGCTATCCCCAACATGGGGCCACAGCCACAGCCCCCTCCACTTGGGCATGGGGTGATGCCCCCAGGTTACCCCAGACTAGTGTGGTAGCGCTTCTTCCACTGCTAGAGTGAGGAAGGGAAATAAGACCTCCCTCAGCCTCTCCAAGGTGCCCCTGCTCAGCACCAGGGGCAGGACATCCACGAGAAGGTCTGGGTTTATGTACTGCAGATGGAAAAACACACAAGCCAGCAACCTAATGAAGACTAGGGCCATGAAGCTGACATACTGGAAATGCCTGCAAAGAGATGTTCATTATTTGCATGAGAAAAAAATAGACAGCCTAAGGTCAAGCAGTGGGAGGAAACCTCATAGTCATAAACGGTTGGCGAATTGCTTGCTTCAGGCCAAATTGATAAGGAAAAGTAGGGAATAGGGGCACAGAAGTTAAGAGTAGGGAAGCAGCCAATACAGAAAAACAGTGATGTCATGGTCAGAAATTGAATACAATCCTCTTGACGGTAAGTCCTCCAACAGAATAGATGTCCATATAGAAAAGTCAGAGGTACGAAAGACTTTCCAGGTACTATGTTTTGCTCAGGCCTTTCTAGTATTGTCAGAAAATGGTTAGGACCATCACTTTGTGAGCCTTCTGACTAGTGGTTCTTTTCAGGTCCTCTGGAACAAGGAGTTTTAGAATTTGAAATAAGATTTAGCCATTGATGATATTAACATCCAGGTAAAATGATGAGGATTATCTTTCTTCTAAATATCAGGTGTTGAAACAAACCAATAAAAAAGGGTGTGTATGTGTGTGTGTTTGTGTGTGTGAAGGTTTTGTGTGTGTGTTTTCTTGTGTGCACTCAAGAAAATTCTACTCTGGCAACAGGTCTAAGATCTTTAACTATGTTGAAATATCGTAAATTGAAGCTTTTTATTAAAGTGCCACTTGAAGCTCTTTGGGGTCAATCTTATTATTTCAAAAATTAAAGAAGCAAAGGCACAGAGAGTTCAATGATTTTTTTTTCTAAAATGTCTAAGCCTGTAGGTAAGATAACTAAGAAAATTAATGCACCCTGAACTTTCTTCCCAACAAAGAATATCACAGAGGTGACCGAGTTCAGGACTTGGAAAATGGAAAGGGGCTATACCTAGGATCATAAGAATGAAAATTAAAAGTTAAATGCAACCTACATCTTTATCCCACATTTCTCAGAAATAGCCACAAATTTCTCCAGCTATTTATAACTGCTGTTTAACTCTGGTATTTTAATTCTGCACTGAGAAAAGTAAGAATGGCTGGGAGACATTTGGGGCTGCCTTGTGTATTCTGATCAGTGGATATGTTTATCCTTGTTCTTTTGGCCCTTATCAGGCAATGTATAGAGTGAAATGTGGTCTAAGCTAGGTAAAAGCAAGATTCTTCCACTTACTTGTACCAACAGATTCTCTCCTGTTTCTTAATGGTGGTCTTCTCCTATGGGAAGCAATGAAAATACACAGTTACGGCTTTTCATGTGTTCATAGAGAGGCAGAGGAGCAGGGGCCCTAGAGTCAGGATGCCTGGGTTTGAATTCTGGCTCTGCCACCTCCTAGCTTACATAGTGTGGAGTAAGGCACTAAATCTCATTATTTCTTAATTATAGGATTATTAAAATGGGGAGAGAGAGAGAGAGAGAGAGTGAGAGAGAGAGAACCCAGGGGAAGGAGGGGATAGAGGAAGACCCATGTTTGGAATAGGAAAAACTTACCATGTTGCTTTGGGTAGTGTCCACCAAAATTGACCCCAGTTTCACTATTTGAGAGGAGACATTCTGGGCTTTGGATCTGGGTAAGAGATCAGAACTGAGAGTTAGGTAACATAATCTGAGAGGCTGATGAAAGGTAAGTTACGTGACATCTGTGATTCATATCCTAGACCCTTGATAACTTTCACAATGCTCAATATTTAAAATCCTTAACTGCTCAACTTAAACAAAGAACCACAGGAAAATGTGATTCATTCTTCAGAGAAAGACAATCAATGAACACTAAGCCGATATCACCCTGATGTTGAATTCAAGCTGCAGTTTGTGTCTTGGTGGTAGCTCAAATGTCAGTTCTGATCTTATGTCCTTAGCCAGACTGCTCACACATTGCCCTGAGCATGCGTGGTTTTGAGGTACAGTCAGAGATTAAGGTATAGTTTAGACACAGATTTAAGAACTCCCAATGTCTGACTACTTTTTCCCCAGTATCTTTGGCTGCCTCAGACTCTCTATTCTCTATTTTGTTAGTCCAGAAAGACCATAGGTTTTCTCTGCTGATGCATCTTACACACCAAGTTTGGTCTTTCTTCAGGCTAGAAGCTATAAAAATGGGAAACCAATGTCCATCATTCTCTTTTTCCAAGTGCCAGATCCCCTCTAGAATGCTTTTATTCAGTCGATGATGCCTTCTGTTCATTGTTTGTTTTTTTGTACTAAGTTTTATTTTCTGCAGTAGGGTGGGGTCCAGTAAATGGAAATGCCTGTAAATAATACCAGCAAATAATGCCTGCGAATGCTTGCAAATCATTCAATAAAGCAAGAAAAAGAAAAAGTTAAAAATTGAAAAGGAAAAAATACAATTGTTATTTACAGTTGAGAATCTAAAATAATCTTTAAATTTTTAACATAGGTGAATTGAGCAAGATTAATGATAAAAGTTCAATATATAGAAACCAATTATATTTCTGTGCACTAGCAGTAATCAATTAAAAAATCAAGGCTGGACATGGTGGCTCACACCTGCAATCCTAGCACTTTTGGAGGCCAAGGCAGGAGGATCATTTAAGCCCAGGAGTTTGAGACCAGCCTGGGCAACATAGTGGAATCCCGTCTCTGTTTTTTATTTTACTTTTGAGATGGAGTCTCACTCTGTCAACCAGGCTGGAGTGCAGTGGCGTGATCTCAGCTCACTGCAACCTCCGGGTTCAAGTGATTCTCCTGTCTCAGCCTCCAGAGTAGCTGGGACTACAGTCACATGCCACCACACCCAGCTAATTTTTGTAATTTTAGTAGAGACAGGGTTTCACCGTGTTAGCCAGGTTGGTCTCCATCTCCTGACCTTGTGATCCACCCACCTCAGCTTCCCAAAGTGCTGGGATTACAGACATAAGCCACCACACCCAGCCTCCAACTCTATTTTTTTTAATATTAATAAAAAAAGAAAATCAAATTAACACAGCATTCATAGTAGCATCAGAAACATTAAATTCCTAGGAATAAACCTGATAAATAATATATAAGAACACCACACAGAAAAATAAAACATTATTGGGAGAAATTAAAGATCTAAATAAATGAAGGGATAAAGATGTCATGATGTATGAAACTAGTGCTTATTTTTATTATTGTTTTGACATAGAGTCTCACTCTGTGGTCCAGGCTGGAATACAGTGGTGTGATCATAGCTCACTTTTACCACAAACTCTTGGGCTCAGCCTCTTGAGTAGCTAGGACTATAGGCATAGACAACTATGCGCAGTTAATCAGTTTTATTTTTTGTGAAAATAGTGTCTTGCTATGTTGCCCAGGAGAGTCTCAAACTCTCGGCCTCCCACCCCAGCCTCCCAAAACGCTGGCATTACAGACACAAGCCACAGCACCTGGCCCTTGAAAACTGTTGTTTATATACTAATTATCCTCTCACTTTGTCTATAGATTCCATGTAACTCCAATCAACATCTCAGCAATGTTTTTTGTTTTTGTTTTGGTAGAAGTCAAAAAACCGATTTTAAAATTTGCACAGAAATTCAAGGGGCCAAGAAAGCCAAGATAATCATTTTTAAAAGTTGCAGAATTTAAGCTACCTTATCAAGGCTAATTATAAAGCTACAGTAATTAGTGTAGTTTTGGCACCAGGATAGAAACATAGACTAATCACACAGAATAAAGCATCCAGAAACAGACTCACACATATATGGTCACCAGACATGAAATAAGATGCCACTGCAAATGCATTGTCTCTTCAATAAATGGTGCTGGACCAACTGGCTCTCCATGTGGGGAAAAAAAATCCACAAATTTTAATCTATGCCTCACACCATAGAGAAAAAAAAATTCCAAAAGAATGTAAGCCTGAGTAAAAGGTAAACAGTAAAAAATTATAGAGTAAACCATAAGAGAGTAGTTTTATGACCTAAAGAAGGCAGAAAGCAAAAAAGAATGAATTGATACATTTCACAGATTATATTTTTTCTAAATTAATAACTATCATTTATCCAAAATGTCATTAAGAAAGTAAAAAAGGAAAGCCACAGAATAGACTATAATACATACATTTGAAAAAGGATCTTAAGAAAAGAGGGAACTTCTATAAATCATTAGGAAAAGACTAACAATCTCACAGATGTAGGCAAAAGACATGTCACAAAAGAGGACGTCCAAATTTCCAAAGTGTGTGAAAAGCTGTAAAACGTCATTATTAATCAGCAATAAAATACATATAAAACATCATTATTTTTCAATAATGTGTTTTAAAAATTAAATTTGTACATCGCTACACCCTCCTTCCAGAATAGTTAAAATCATAAAGGCTATAAATACCAAGTGAAAGTAAGGACGAAGAGTCACTAGAACTCTTGTACATTTTTTGTGGGTGGGTATATTGCTACAGGCACTTTGGAAAACTGTTCAACTTAGCTAGTAAACCAGATATGTATACCCTATGACCTAGAAATTCTATTCCTTGCTATATAACCCAAGAGAAATAAGAGGATACGTCCATCAAAAAACATGCACAAGAATGCTTGCAGCTTTATTATAAATCTCCAAGCTGGAAATAACCAACATGTTCCTTAACACTAGAATAGATAAATTGTGCCATATTTATGTAGAAGAATATAACAGCCATGAAAAAGAACAAATCATGCAGCAACGTGAGTGAGTCTCAGTGAAAGCCAGACACAATCGAGATCATACTAAATTTATGTAAAGCCCAAAAACGGCTTAAAAAGAAAAAGATAAAAGTCAAGCTAATGGTTACTTTTCAAAAGTATTGGGTGGGAGGAGGGTACAGGGAGACTTTTGGGGTACTCAAAATGTTCCATATCTTGATCTCAGTGGTGTTATCATGTGTAAAAATTCACCAAGCTATATAAAATTTGTGCACTCTATGTATGTTATATAATGCAATTGAAAAGTATAAATAATCAAAAGGAAAGTGTGACAAATCCTGAGACAGACAGTCTATGGAAAGAAGTACAAAAGGGCATCGCTGGGGCCCCTGGTCAGTCTGGTGGACCCACCGCATCCTGGGAAAGGGAACAGCATACATATATAGAGAAGAGCCCCTGGTCCTCTTTTTACTGTGTTGCTTCCTCTCTGAACTTAGATCCAGACAATTTTCAGGAATGGTATGCAACTGAGGACATGGGAAAACAACTTTAAGGTGAAGCACAGTGGCTCATGCCTGTCGACCCAGCACTTTGGGAGGCCAAGGCGGGTGGATCACCTGAGGTCAGGAGTTCGAGACCAGCCTGGCTAACATGGTGAAACCCCATCTCTACTAAAAATAGAAAAATTAGCTGGGCGCGGTGGCAGGCATCTGTAATCCCAGCTACTCGGGAGGCTGAGGTGGGAGAATCGCTTGAACCTGGGAGGCGGAGGTTGCAGTGAGCTCAGATCACAGCACTGCACTCCAGCCTGGGTGACAAGAGTGAAACGCCATCTCAAACAAACAAAAGGAAAGAACATTAAAAAGAGACTTCTGAAACACCAATTGTTGAGGAAGGCAAGAGGAAAGCCTGAATGCTGGTGGTTTTTCAGTCTGAACCATGGAGTGGAGGCTGACAGAGAAGACCTGTTGGAGGCCATTTACACAGTGACACACTGTGCTGAGAAGCAACCGCCCTTCAAAAGACCACCCAGACCGCCAGACTGTCACTGCAGTCTGTCAGGGAGGCCGTTTTTCTAAACTTACATTTCTTTTTCAAGAAGCAGTGCCTTCTCTTCTTCTTCCATCTTCCTCAGAGCTTCCTGGTATTTCTTTCCACGGAGTTGGAAAAAAAATCATAATGGGAAATTTCCGTATTTCATCATGATGTCATTAATAAAAGTATTCTGCTAATTATTTTCCAAACAGTGTACTCATCAGTATGCACACACAAGTGTGTGTGTGGGGGGAGTTTTAATTAAAAAAATTAAAAGAAATTAGTGACCAGAATGGATGTGTATGAACAAAAGCAGTTCCCTCTCATTCAGGTCACTGCTTGTAATCAAATCCCAGCTCTGACGTTTACTAGCTGTGTTCCCTGTTACTAGCTGTATTCTAACATCCTGAAACCTCATTGTCCCCTTGAGCGTAACTGTCAGTCTAAGAATTATTGACCAATTGATTGAGAAAAGTACTATATGTTGAGTGCTTAGCACGGTACTTGGCACAAAGTAAATCCTTAACATACATCCATCTTCTTGTTGCTGTTGTATATAGAGCACTTCCCCCAGTGACCCATTCTAGCCTGAAGAAAAACCAGGGAACCCATGGCCTTGGAGAAATTCTGCCCCTGCTCGGACTTTTCCTCCAGACTCGCTGTACCTTTAAGTAGTAGACCTGGTCCTTACAGAGCTCATGCACAGATTGGTAGTCACTCTCTATCTAAAAAGCAAGGAAATTAACAAACCCCATGAGTTAAATCAGAACCAAGCCCAGCTTCCTCCCTGGGGCCCTACCTGGTACGCTGGCACTGGGCTGGTTACCTTAGCAACTCCTGACTTGAGGAAAAACATTCACATCACAAAGAGGTGATCTCATCATCAGGCACAGGGTCTGATTTTAAGCAGAGGAAATATTTTGCCCAAGTTGTCATATGCCTCTCAGGTGAAATACCAGGGGATGTTTCAAGGCAATTTGGTTTGGAATTCAACAATGGTATTTGACATAAAGGTGTAAGAAATGGTAAAACAGTATTTTTAATAGAAGTTTTCTTTCCCTTCAGCTACATAAGAATCAGAAATTCATTTCCAATATGTTCTTGTACTGCCCTCTCCCATGCCTCAATCAGATCTGTTTTTAAGACCCTTGGGATTCTTTCCCATTATATCCTGGGCAGACCCTCTGTGGAAGAGACACTGCCTCTACCTTGGCCAGCTCCTCCTCTTGCTTTGCACAGGACTCTGTTGTCTTCTGTAGCCTCACCTGTGGAAGACAATGAGTGACAGCAGAAAGTTACTAGCATTTTTTTGTGAAAAGGAAGTGGGTAATTATCACCATCTCCAGACCAGCAGAGAACATGATACTAATGGCTAGCATATGTTGAAGACATATGATAATAACATTTTAGGGTGGGCACTTGTAATTACTCCCCATTTTACCAATGAGGAAACAAAGGTACAGAGAAGTTAAGAATGTAACTTGTTTAAAAGTTGCAGAGTGGCAGAGCATTTATGCCTCAGTAGGCCAATGCCCCATTCAGTGAGTCCAGCCATCCTCCTTCCTCCAGGCCTACTGACCAAAGCTCACCAGCCTCTTCCTCCCATTCATATTTCATAGTGTGCACTGGCATGTCCTCTGAATCAGAAAATAAAAGAGGAACCTGGGCCGGGCGTGGTGGCTCGCGCCTATAATCCCAGCACTTTGGGAGACCAAGGCAGGTGGATTACTTGAGGTCAGGAGTTTGAGACCACCTTGGCCAACATGGTGAAACCCCATCTCTACTGAAAAAACAAAAATTAGCCAGGTATGGTGGCATGTGCCTGTAGTCCTAGCTACCCAGGAGGCTGAGGCAAGAGAATTGCTTGAACTTCGGAGGCAGAGGTTGCAGTGAGCCAAGATCTTGCCACTGCACTCCAGCCTGGATGACAGAGTGAGACTCCATCAAAAGAGAGAGAGAGAGAGAGAGAGAGAGAGAGAGAGAGAGAGAGAGAAACCTGGCTCCTCTTTTTCTGAGAAATACATAAAACAATGAAGCTCTTGTATACTGGGCTCCATTAAATTGCCACACTCACCACATAAATATGCAGAGAGCTTCCTAACAGGGTTTTTCCCCACTATTGGGTGTCCAGTGTATTCATTCATTCAATATATATTTAGTGGGCATCTACTATGTGCCAGGCAGATAGTTCTAGACAGTGGGGAAACAGATGAACAACATAGACAACAATTCATGTTCTCAATGGGTTTATCTTCTAGCAGAGGGAATAAATAAATAAATAAACTCCTTTAGCCTTTGAGGTATGAGTTGGAAAATCAGAAGATCATGACATAACCCTATATGATTATGGGAGTCAATATTTTCTTCCTATTGAATATCTTATTTGTGTGTCCTCGCTTAAATAATAAACTTCTGGAGGGCAGGTCCCAATGGGCATTCAGGACATGTGTTTTATTGACTGTGGAAGATGGGGACTTTGGAGCAGTTCCCTTCACTTTGATCCACTGCAGTCACTCTGCTCTTAGTGTGACTTATGATGTTATGAATGCCCCACAGGCCATGGGATTACATACAGGGAATGAAGGACACTGACTCATCTCTGACAAGTACATGAGCATAACCCGTACATACCCTAGAGGAGTCCTGGAGAGCAACTTCTTCCAGGATCTACAATTCACACATCTCCCAGAAAATCTGGTTTTTCTACTTACCTTAATTTCCTCCAGTTTCTGCTCTGTAGTTTCTTTTTCAAAACTGACATTTGTAAATCGCCCTGAAATCTAAAAAAGCATTCTAAAAATCATGAACTAAGTAAGGTACATAGACATGAAAACCTAGGACAGTGGCAGACTGGGGGTCCCAGGCTGCAGATGGTGGTTACTAATTTGGGCCCTGGATAGAAGCTTGGCAGAAAAGCATCTCCTTCTCCCAGTGGAGGCTGCCTGACTCCATGCTGGCTGGACAGACCTTTTCTGTTCCCGTAGCCCATGGAAGCAAGGGCACAGTGAGGAGGCGAGGACGATGAGAGAGGGAAGAGAGAATGGGGCAGAGTGGTGGGAGGAAGGATAAGTCTTTTCTCCTTCCTTTATGGCCCTTTAGCCCTCTCACTGCAATCTGTAATGCCAGGGAACAATTGGCAGCAGCAGCGAGGAGGGAGCATGGAAACTCTGCCAGTTGCCCTTTCTTCTCCAGTCTCTGTGATTAGAGAGTTCTAGAAGATAACTCCTATTGGGAGTCCTAAGAAACGAGCCTTGTTTCCAAGGCAGTTTTTATTGTGTGGGGAACAGCCTTTCCATTAACGTTTATGTATATTTTCTCATTCTGAATGTGCCTAGAACCCCTCCTGCATGCTCCCAGCCCAGCCCCACAGACTTTGTCTTGTGAAAACACTATGTTCTTAGGGACTCTGGGACCCTAAAAAACCCAGGGCTCCCCTTACCTTGTTCTGAATCTCCACCACATTCTTGCTTAGGATTGCATTACTTTTTTCCTATGGGGAAAAGGAAGTCAGGGAAGAAAGTTGCTCTGCCATCATCTCTCCCCTTTCGCCAGGCCACTAGAAAAATATCTGGGATAAGTCTATCAAGTTGGAAAAGTGCACTCTGGCTCACAGAGCAGATCTAGGAATAAAGCCCTTTGGCCCCTATGCCCAGTGCTTCATTCCCAGAATACTTCTTTAAACAGCCATGATTTTAGATACGGAAGCGATGAACATGGGATGACTTCCCGGGAAAGAGAGAGCAGCAGAATGCAAAGAAAATGCATGCAGTGGTTCTTTTCTAGATACCTCCTTACCAGCTTTGCTGTCTCTAATTCCAGCTCCCTAAGGGATTCCTCCTGTTCATTTATGATAGAGGTCAACTCCTCCTCCTCTTTGGCTTGTTCTAGTGACAGGGCCAGCTCTCTTTCCAGACTGAAAAATATAAAGTCACCCGGGTGTGAATCAGCTCCTAAGGAAGCTGCCTGGGTCCCAGTTGGAGAAGCTACTTCCAAAGTCTCAGGAAGTCAGAATAAACACTAGTGCAGTGGCAATAAAATAATCAACCTAATGTGAAAATTTAATGCAAACATCTCTATATAAAGTGTTTTCAGGGCACTTGTAGTTCATACTTTAGGATTTAAATAATACATCAATATTCATAGTTCATACTTTAGGATTTAAATAACACGCCAAGATTCACTCTCAAATAACTGAAACTTTCTTCCATCTTCTGTATCACAAAGGACCTAGAGGGGAGGAGAGGCCCTTCCTTCACCAACTGCAAAGCCTTACCTTGGAATCGTTTCTTCTTTCTCTTTAATTTTTCTAAGGAGAACCTGATTCTCCATATCCAGTTTCTGCAAGTCCTTTTCAAGGTCTGAATTCAGGCAGTCAAGGTTCTGTTTTATGGCTTCTAATGCTGGTAATTCCATCATCTGGCACCTACAGAAAAATCATCTTTATCAACAAACTCAGGACAGGAAAACATAGGAGCTCTAAGAAGATGTTCCCCTATAATTTCATTCATTCTTTCCTTCTGTTGCTAATAAGCCTAACCAGCCTTATTTTGTTTTCCATGATAAATTGATTTCTACACTGTTTTGCATAAAGTAAATTCCTGGAGTGGACCCACACTTTAATTTTAAATACTGTAAGTGGAACCCACTAAAACAAATCTTGTATGAAGCAAAAGAAATATTTTTTCAAATGAATACATTAGCACATTTATTTTAAAAATTTTTATATGAAGTATGCAGAATCCAAGTGATACCTCTAAAGCATTTAAAGACCTGCAAGGGAAAGATTTTTCCTTCTTTTATCTTCTAACCTAGTCAGGGAGGGACATGGGCTGAGTGGAGGCCAGAAGGGGGATGAACATTTCCTGCAAGACTCATTAGCTATTTGAGACACTAACGATCTTTGAAAACCCCGTCATTAGTCTGATGAAGAACAGCGAACTGAAACCAAAGTTTCTTCTCCCTAGGAAGTCTCCCCAGACTTGAGGAGATAAGGTCTTGCACAATGGAGCTCTTTCTTACTGGATTGCTGGAGACTTCCCGTGGAGATTCCTCTATTGACTCTTGTATTATTTCCATACTTACACATCATCCAGTGGATTCTGTCGAACATCTTCCATCATAGGTTTCCTAAAATGTTAATACAAACATCTGTTATGGAAAAGCCCCTAACAGCCATTGCAGTAATTGCCCCAAGAAGGAGCAGTTAAAAGGTAGATCTCGTGTTCAGGCAACACAGAGCCAAGAAGAAACCTAAGGGTCCTACACTCTCACACTTTCCAGGATCAATTGCAGTATTTTTTACAAGCTAAATTTCAGTAAATCACATCATATTTTAATTTAAAAGTCTCATAAATGAATCCCATTGGAGTATAGGAATCTTTTGGTTTTTAAGATTTTCCATACTTTGGCTCTATTTTCCTTTTCTCACCTACATTTGTCCGCTCACCAGTAAAGTTGCTAAGGGTACTCATGTATGTTTATTGGCAAATACACTGTTTGTTTCCAACCAAACCTTCAAAGAAACTTTAAAAAAATAGTAGAAGAGTTAGAGGGTACCATTAAGTTGGCTGATTGATTTCTATTAGTTTTTTATCATCCTACTTTCCAAGAAAGCTCTAGCTATTATAAGCTGAGATGACCCTGAAACAACAGCAGAAGTAGCAGCATGAGCAACAGGATACAGCTACTAGAAGGAAGAAACACATGTCAGGCTCTCAGGCACAGTATATCCTAATCATTACCCTACAAAATTCAGGACTAAATCCAACCCAAGAAAAGTAGAATACTAAATCTCTATTCTTTC